GTATATACACAGAGATGTCACTATACACAGGTCAGACGTACAGATCTATATACACAGGTCAGACGTACAGATGTATATACACTCAGTGATGTCACTATACACAGGTCAGACGTACAGATGTATATACACAGAGATGTCACTATACACAGGTCAGACGTACAGATGTATATACACAGGTCAGACGTACAGATGTATATACACTCAGGGATGTCACTATACACAGGTCAGACGTACAGATGTATATACACAGGTCAGACGTACAGATGTATATACACTCAGTGATGTCACTATACACAGGTCAGACGTACAGATGTATATACACTCAGTGATGTCACTATACACAGGTCAGGCGTACAGATGTATATACACAGAGATGTCACTATACACAGGTCAGACGTACAGATGTATATACAGAGATGTCACTATAGACAGGTCAGACGTGCAGATGTATATACACTGATCAGACATACAGATGTATACACACAGGTCAGACGTACAGATGTATACACACACAGTGATGTCATTCTAGCGAGGCTGCGGAGCCATGTCCCCCCTCCCCCATGCTATACGCAGATCCCAGCACTGTCCCCATCCTGCGCCCCCTCACTAGGGGCCCCCACAAGCACACATACCGGGGCCCGGTCATCCTGGCGGAGGCCTCTCTGTTGTGTTTACACTGAAGACAGCTCGGCTGCTGGAACCCAACCCGCTGCTATAGAGAGAGGAGGGGGAGGGGAGAGGGGAGGGGAGACTCTATTCCCAGGAACCATTGCTCTGTCTATTACACCCACCATTAACCCCCGCATGGCCGACCCCATCCCACCGCACATCACCCTGTCATAGGGAACCGGACAACCTGTGTACCCAATCCGTACATCACTGTGCCACCTATACAGAGACCATGAGGACCCCAGATCCCTATACACATCATCCCTCCGTATACCCCTCCTGTATACACATCATCCCTCTGTATATTGACACCCTGTATACTCCTCCTGTATATACATCATCCCTCAGTATACTGACCCCCGTATACTCCTCCTGTATATATATCATCACTTGTATACTGACCCCCGTATACTCCTCCTGTATATACATAATCACTCTGTATACTGACCCCGTATACTCCTCATCCTGTATAAACATCATCCCTCTGTATAGTGACACCCTGTATACTCCTCCTGTATAGACATCATTCCTCTGTATAGTGACCCCCTGTATACTCCTCCTGTATATACATCATCCCTCTGTATAGTGACCCCCTGTATACTCCTCCTGTATATACATCATCCCCCTGTATACTCCTCCTGTCCTGTATAAACATCATTCCTCTGTATAGTGACCCCCTGTATACTCCTCCTGTATATACATCATCCCTCTGTATAGTGACCCCCTGTATACTCCTCCTGTATACACATCATCCCTCTGTATAGTGACCCCTGTATACTCCTCCTGTATAGACATCATCCCTCTGTATACTCATCTATATACATCATCACTTGTATACTGACCCCCTGTATACTCCTCCTGTATATACATCATGCCTCTGTATAGTGACACCCTGTATACTCCTCCTGTATATACATCATCCCGACATATAGTGACCACCCGTATACACATCATCCCTCTGTATACTGAAACCTTGTATACTCCTCATCCTGTATAAACATCATCCCTCTGTATAGTGAGCCCCTGTATACTACTGTATATACATCATCCCTCTGTATACTGAAACCCTGTATACTCCTCCTGTATATACATCATCCCTCTGTATACTGACACCCCGTATACTCCTCATCCTGTATAAACATCATCCCTCTGTATAGTGAGCCCCTGTATACTACTGTATATACATCATCCCTCTGTATACTGAAACCCTGTATACTCCTCCTGTATATACATCATCCCTCTGTATAGTGAGCCCCTGTATACTCCTGTATATAAATCATCCCTCTGTATAGTGACCCCTGTATACTCCTCCTGTATATACATCATCCCTGTATACTCATCTATATACATCATCCCTCTGTATAGTGAGCCCCTGTATACTCCTGTATATAAATCATCCCTCTGTATAGTGACCCCTGTATACTCCTCCTGTATATACATCATCCCTCTGTATACTCATCTATATACATCATCACTCTGTATAGTGACACCCTGTATACTTTTCTTTTTATTACACAGAGCAGCCAATCAGGTTTTTCCTCAGCACCAGCAGCTGATACCAGGTCAGGGCAGATGTAGGAACCAATCAGGCGCTATCATTCTCTCATCAGACTAGAACATTGGATGTGGCGGCTGATTTAGGAACAGCGCTCCTCTACCCGGATCAGGCTTGACCCAAAGGGGTAGAGTCTCATTCTCTATTAGCAGCATGTACCCAGAGGGGGAGCCTCATCCTTCATTGGCAGCATGTACCCAGAGGGGGAGCCTCATCCTTCATTGGCAGCATGTACCCAGAGGGACAGAGCCTCATCCTTCATTGGCAGCATGTACACAGAGGGGAGGAGTTTCATCCTTCATTGGCAGCATGTACTCAGAGGGGGAGCCTCATCCTTCATTGGCAGCATGTACCCAGAGGGGGAGCCTCATCCTTCATGGGCAGCATGTACCCAGAGGGACGGAGCCTCATCCTTCATTGGCAGCATGTACCCAGAGGGGGAGCCTCATCCTTCATTGGCAGCATGTACCCAGAGGGGGGAGCCTCATGCTTCATGGGCAGCATGTCCCCAGAGGGGGGAGCCTCATGCTTCATGGGCAGCATGTCCCCAGAGGGGGGAGCCTCATGCTTCATGGGCAGCATGCACCCAGAGGGGGGAGCCTCATGCTTCATGGGCAGCATGTCCCCAGAGGGGGGAGCCTCATCCTTCATTAGCAGCATGTACCCAGAGGGGGGATCCTCATGCCTTGTCCTTTATCAGCAACATGGTCCCAGAGGGCTGGAGCCTTGTCCTTTATCAGCAACATGGTCCCAGAGGGCTGGAGCCTTGTCCTGTATGGGCAACATGACTCTGGAGGGGCAAAGCTACATCATCCATGGGCAGCATGTAGCCAGAGGGGCGGAGCCTCATCCTTCATGCTTATTCCAGGTCAGTGGTTGGTGAAACAGAGAAGGATGGATGAGGATGACAGCGCCAGTCATAATATCTCATCCTAACATCCCATCACCCGATCCGACTCCTGCACTGCAGAGTTGTCAGCAGATCTCACGCTGGTTGCACATTCGGAAAGCTCGTGGCTTCTGTGCCGATAATCGATGTGACAGGAAGTTATCATCCTTGGTAGGAATTCATATGAAGTCAGAGGGTGAGCAGCAGATTGTACACCCAAATTGGAAATCTGACCCCACACTATACAATTTATCTGTACAATCAGATCTTACAATACAAATTGACAGATTGGATAGAGATTGAACGGATAGATTAGGAATTCCCTCATATTGCTTTGGTAAATCCAAAGCTCACCACACACTTTACAATCTAATTGTACGTTCACCTATTGGCTCGCCGTACACGTTACAACCCGACCATACAATCAATCTCCCACCAATCCACTTTAAGTCAACTAATACTATGAAATATAACGGACTACCAAATCTATCCCAACCATTTTCAGCCCATAGGGCAGGGCTCTGTCACTACATACTTGTTGGTAGATTGAGAGGAGATTGTACAATCAGATTGTACTGTGTGTGGTAAAATGTAATTCCACGAACATCCATGTAGTGCAAGAGCCCGTCTGAGTGGATCCAGACCAACCGAATAGATACCGATTGATCAGATTGATTGACGATAGACTGATTCGATAGAATAATTGGAAACAAAAGTGATTGGATAGAGACTGTGTTGATATGAAATGATTGATTACAGATTGATTGGATACTGAATGATTGGATAGAGTGATTGGATAGAGTGATTGGATACTGAATGATTGGATAGAATGATTGGATAGAGTGATTGGAAACTGAATGATTGGATAGAGTGATTGGATAGACTAATTGGATACTGAATGATTGGCTAGAAATTGATTGGATACTGAATGATTGATTACAGATTGATTGGATAATGAATGATTGGATACAGACGGATTGGACAGAAATTGATTGGATACAGACTAATTGGATACAGAATGACTAGATACACATTGATTGGATACAGATTGACGGATGCATAGCATTTGGCCGAGTACGAGAACTAGCCCAAATACTCGGTATCGGCACCCATACTAGTATCGGTGCATCCCTAAAAAAAAAAAAAGGTTGAAAAACGCTGGTTTAGTTGTGTACAAACTGTCTGGATAAAAATTGATTGGATACAGGATGACTGAATACAGATTGATTGGATGAAATCTAGGGGTGCACCGAAATTTTGGCCGAAAAATGGTACTATTAGTAAAATGCTTCTCCCCTCCCCGCTGGGCGCCGGTCTATGTCCCGTCCAATCCCCGCTGCTCTCCCCCGCCTGTGTCACCAGAGACAGCGGGGATCGGAGGGGACAGCTGTCACAGGAGGCCGAGCTCTCCTCCAGCACTGGCGGAGAAGTCAGGATGGAGAGCGGAGTACAAGCGCTCAGCGGTCAGTACTGATCACTGAATGTATGTATATAACTGAGGACATGGTAAGCTTACTGTGTCCTCTACACAGCAGGTGCTTACCAGAAAAAGAGCACAAGGGCCTGCAGATGCCATGGCAAAGCGCTTCACTGACATCACATGACCTATCACAGGGGCCAATCAGATTCCTTCGCTCCCTCCTGAGGAGAAGACTGGGAGGTGTGATATGGGAATGTAGTGTGTGACCCTCTAAAAGCAGCCCTGAGGTGAGGTGGTGTTCCAGGGAGCAAGAGGCGGGGCTAAGCAGGCATAGTATGCTATACAAGGCCCCCCCCCTCCAACTCAGCAGCACAATGTCCCTGGACGGCCAGGTACACGGCTCCTCCCACTCAAACACCTCCCCCCATCTTCCCGGGTATAGCTCCGCCCTCCGCCGGGTCACTCACCGCTCTCCGCTACTCTCCTCACATTCCGCGTCACCAGCACCGAGCAGAGCGGCCTCTTCCCGCCAGTGACGTCATCTGATCTCAGACCCGCCCACTGCGACGGAGGAAGTGAGGCCGGAAGTAGCTAGGGCACCATCATTGTTCAGGGAAGATAGACTGGCAACATTCGGCTTCTTCACGTGACCAGCAACCAGGAGCCCCAGTATCCATAATACCCCCAATGTGCCCCATACTGAAATCCACAATGTACATCACTCCTCAACAACAGTAATTCCCCCAATGTGCCCTAAAATACCCGAAACGGCGTACATTTCTCCTTACTGTACAAAATACCCCCAATGACCCCATACTGCCCTCCACAGTGTAAACTGCCCCGGTCATCCTTAACACCCCCAACGTGTCCCATACTGCCCCATTACTGTGTATACTATCCCTCACCATCCATAATACCCCCATCATGTCTGATACTGCCCCTAACAATGAACATTACCCCTCACTTCCATTTATTCCCTCTACTATAGTTCTTTTTTTTTAACACCCCCCAATGCCCTTTCCATTTTATCACCCCCTCTCTATACAATGTCTTTTGCATTGTCTCCCCTCAATGATTTATGAAGTGTATTATAGGTATAAGAGACACTGCAGACCTTCAAATGTGAACTGCTGTGAATGAGTAAACACAGTTCTCATTCATAACACCCCGCAATCGTAGATTTCCCGAAACTAAGATGGCCGCGGCAAAACATCCGCTCTGTCGCTAACTGATGACGCAAACACTGCGCGTTGACATCTGAAGTGTGGCTGAGAGCTGCAGACAGTGGAGAAGGTGAGAGACATTGAAAACTGGACAGAGCACTGTACACTGTTATATTGTATGAGAGAGGACAGAGGAACGTACACTGTTATATTGTATGAGAGGTCAGAGGACTGTACACTGTTATATTGTATGAGAGGTCAGAGGACTGTACACTGTTATATTGTATGAGAGGTCAGAGGACTGTACACTGTTATATTGTATGAGAGGTCAGAGGACTGTACACTGTTATATTGTATGAGAGGTCAGAGGACTGTACACTGTTATATTGTATGAGAGAGGATAGAGGACTGTACGCTGTTATATTGTATGAGAGAGGACAGAGGACTGTACACTGTTATATTATATGAGAGGTCAGAGGACTGTACACTGTTATATTGTATGAGAGAGGACTGTATGCTGTTATATTGTATGAGAGAGGATAGAGGAATGTACGCTGTTATATTGTATGAGAGAGGATAGAGGACTGTACGCTGTTATATTGTATGAGAGAGGACAGAGGACTGTACGCCGTTATATTGTATGAGAGAGGATAGAGGACTGTACACTGTTATATTGTATGAGAGAGGATAGAGGACTGTACGCTGTTATATTGTATGAGAGAGGACTGTAAGCTGTTGTATTGTATGAGAGAGGACAGATGACTGTAAGCTGTTGTATTGTATGAGAGAGGACTGTAAGCTGTTGTCTTGTATGAGAGTGGACAGAGGACTGTAAGCTGTTGTATTGTATGAGAGAGGATAGAGGACTGTATGCTGTTATATTGTATGAGAGGACTGAGGACTGTAAGCTGTTATATTGTATGAGAGAGGATAGAGGACTGTACGCTGTTATATTGTATGAGAGAGGACAGAGGACTGTAAGCTGTTATATTGTATGAGAGAGGACTGTACGCTGTTGTACTGTATGAGAGAGGACTGTACGCTGTTGTACTGTATGAGAGAGGACAGAGGACTGTACGCTGTTGTACTGTATGAGAGAGGACAGAGGACTGTAAGCTGTTGTATTGTATGAGAGAGGTCAGAGGACTGTACGCTGTTATATTGTATGAGAGGACTGAGGATTGTAAGCTATTATATTGTATGGGAGAGGATAGAGGACTGTACACTGTTATATTGTATGAGAGAGGACTGTAAGCTGTTGTATTGTATGAGAGGACAGAGGACTGTAAGCTGTTGTATTGTATGAGAGAGGACAGAGGACTGAACGCCGTTATATTGTATGAGAGAGGACTGTCCGCGGTCGCATTGTATCGGAGGACTGTCCGCGGCCGCATTGTATCGGAGGACTGTCCGCGGCCGCATTGTATCGGAGGACTGTCCGCTCTCTCTGATGGGAAGTGATTGACATATTGTACTTCTTTCTTTGTTGTAGAGATGTTGATGAAATGTCTGCACAGATCTGCCTGGAAGGTGAGTTCTCTGCGGTTCTGATTAGTTCTGTTTCGGGTGTTGTCATCGTAGTATTGTTGTTGATTTTATATGTAATTGGGGTTTCTTTTTGTCTTGTTATGTAATATGTCTGGGTGTCCCGGGGTCATTGGAGACTCTGTGTTATGTGTTTTCCCTCTTCTCTCCTGTATAGTATTCAGGGACTGACATTTGTATCTCTTGTCTTCTCCCAGTTGGTATTCGCCCCATCGGTGCCTCGGAGGGGTTTGTCCAGTCTTGCTTCCCCCGCAGAGAGCCCTAACCCCAGAGAAGTGTTTCGGACCAGTGAGAGTGATCCAGTAAGTAACAGATAAGATAGTTCCGTCTTCTGTCTTTGTGCCACCATTGGATGGTCGGCGTGGTGAATGGGATGTTTGGTTCTTTGTGGTGGAATATTCTAAAACTTTCATTTATCCTCATAAGTCGAAGTAAGAACTGCTTGAGTTGCCTCCAGCTGCCAATTTTCTTCCTGTGGTGTCATTTAATTAATCCCAGGCCCAGGGGTGGTCAGTGAGGGGTCGTGAAACCGGCGGAGGGGCAGTGGGTGAGGGGTCGAGTGGCACTGCCCATGGGCGGGCGGTGAGAGGTCGAGTGGGACTGCCCATGGGCGGTGGGTGAGGGGTCGAGTGGGACTGCCCATGGGCGGTGGGTGAGGGGTCGAGTGGGACTGCCCATGGGCGGTGGGTGAGGGGTCGAGTGGGACTGCCCATGGGCGGTGGGTGAGGGGTCGAGTGGGAGTTTCATTCATAACATCTGTATGTCGTCCTGCAGTTGGTGTTGGTGGTAGATGTAGACACTGTTCTGTAAAGCGGTTATAGCCTCAGAGTGGGAGCCCAGTTGATCATGTTCTAGCTTTTACCCATAATGGTGACAATTCTGGGAACTTACCCTCCTATATTTACCCCCATCTGTCTACACTGCTTTGTTCTATTGTGAACCCCAACCGTCTTCCTCCCCATTTACACCTCTTCTGCCCTCCCTTCCATTTATTTTATATCCACTTCTCAAGTATTATCTCTGCCCGCTTATTTGCCCCCTTACCTTTAGGGCTTGGTCACGCTATTTCCATTGAGCTGCTTTTTTCTGCACATCACCGCACATGGAAATCACACACCGCTAACCTAATAA